AAGTAAATCCCTTCCTACCACACTATTTTGACCTTGTGTAGCTGCTCAGGTTTTTGACAAGCAGCCAGAGGAAGYTGCTGCTCTGGAGATCTGGTTTGTTTGAGTTAGGTTTTTAAACTCTGTAATTCCCTTTAAAGAACTAGGGTTCCCTCCCTTCCCCCTTTATAATCTGTAAAAAAGGAGGAAGGACACTTCAATGTACAGTGTTATTTTTACTGCTGGATCTTGTGCCAACAGAAATTCAGGGTTTAATTTTATTAGCCTGTGGAGATTAAAAATACCATAAGAATCTCAGTAAATGGTTATGACTTGATGTATCCATGTTTCAAAGTAAGTATCTCCCCTGATCTTATTTAAGTTTATTTTAAGACTTGTCCTTTCCCTCTTTATCACCTTAGACAAAGATTTTGGGCAAGGCTTCAGCAGCTGCACAAAACAAAACCAATTAAAAAAAAAAACAAAACAAACAAACAAACAAACAAACAAACAAAAAAAACCCAAAACAAAAAACCCCCAAAAAAACAAAACAACCAAAAAAACCCCAAACCCCGAACCCCATAAGTGAGAAAACTCTTGCCTAGGTGTTGAAGCCAGTGAAGTATAATGCTAACACAAGAAATCACAGGTCATCCAAAAGGTTCSAAAATTAGAGTAGGAGGTTAAGGACCTACCTTCATTCACCTAACTGGGCAAATCCTAGCTGAATTGTCAGAGGCAATCYATAKCAGCCTCCACAGRGTTGGGTTGTTTTGGTTTTATTTCRTGAAAGAAATCTACTTTCTTCATCAGGAAGAGGAAAAGTGAAGCAAATTAACAGCTGTTTTGGGAGGGAGCATGTCATACCCTAAGCTGCCAGCRCAGCAGGATAAAGTCCAGAATCCGTACAAATAAAAGTAGCTTTTATGTGCTTTTTTTGCAGACCTTCACTTTCCAAGATTGGACCTACATTTCGAGACTTAAAATCTGCAAGTGCTTCCTCTATAATCCATGGCACGTGTTTTCCTGCTCTCCGACCAGTGTTCTTTGGCTAAATCTGATGTTTCAGAGCCTCTTTACAGATATTTTTCTTACTTTCTTCACAAAGGTAAGTACCTGGCAAATGGAGTCAGATTCTAACTCGATGAAAGATCCTGCCTGGTCGCTTATTCTCTATAAAATTTGCTCGAATAGAAATTCCGAATTAAATTAGGTCTCCAGTGAGCCTCAAGCACTCCTCAGCTGCTTCATGTATATTTCTGYTAGAATTTTAGACACCTGACTATTGCAACCTATTTGATGGGGATTTAGATCTAGATGCTTCATCCATCTCTGGACCCTTCTGAAAAGTTCAGACACTCAAAGACACAGTTAATGTTTTGGATAAATTGAACCTTGAAAAAGAAAAGAAGRAGCAAAATGTAGGAGTAAAAAGTAGAACATTACCTTAATAAAAGAGTAAGTGAGAAGACCTACTAGACTTCTCAAYTTTTTCACAGAATTCCCAGGCCAAATATCAAGTTGTGATTTTTTTTTTTGTTTGTTTGTTTGTGTGTGTGTTAATATCTTTTAAATGGAAAGGAAATTCCAAAGAATTCTTACTGGTGATGTTTTTTTCTTTTTTTTAAAAAAACCTTCTACAATACTCAAAATACACATTCCAATATTAGAAAATAAGTGGGAAAAAAAACCCTAAACAATTACCTGTGGAAGAACAGTGATTTATTTTTAACATTATGGAACTTAACATTTTTTTTAAATGGCAATTTTTTAAAAATTTAACATGAGTAGGTATTTTCTACATTTATAGGTAGCTCCTTGGCTGTCTATCTGTCCCCAGTCTATTTTACCACTATGTTTGATTCATCCACTTGTCCATGAAAAGAGCAAGCACAGAATCAGTCTCTGATTCAGACTGTGACTATTTTTAGGTACAGTGAGTGTATCTCTCACTTATTTTGAGTTTATACAGAATGCAGCTATGAGAGGAACTGTAACTAAGACTACAAATGATGCAACAAAGACAGAGAGCACCACATTCACAAGTCAATAGCACTGTTTGCCTTTTACCCTTTAGAATGACATTTTAAAAACCTAACAAGGTCTGRAAGGGCTTTGGTAATTCTATTTTGTTGGGTTTGGTTTTTTTTTTTTTTTTCCCCAGTAATGCAGAGAAGTGTCAGATAACAAAGTTCAAATGAAACATAAGAAGGCAGGATGTGATTCTTTATAGTGAAGTTTTTAGGTTTTTTTTTTCCTTCAAGTTTCATCTCRTGGGCTAACTGTGCCATTAGCAAGCCAGCTTGATGTCATCATCTGCCACAAATTTGCTAATCTGTTTCACTAAATTAAAATTTCAGATATGCTGGTGTTTTCTTCTACACACATATATTTAAGGCAGAAAAGTACTGGTAGGGATTTCACTACCATAAATGATGATGRAGAATTGGAGCCTGCTGTCTAGGTAAGGACAGTGCTGCCGAGAGAAATCTTTTCCAAACATCCGTGTGTAGGCTTAAAGCTTAAAAACCTCTCATAATTATCTTCACTGTGAACTTATTTTTCATATCAGCATCTAATTTTAAAATATACAGGCATGGATAAAAAATTTACTTGTGTTACTTGTTTCRGTTTTTTTACTTGTGTTACTTGTTTCAGTTTTTTCTTTCCAGCCTAGTTATTATTGTCATTTTGAAAGCTCTTGTAATTATTAAAAATAGCGTTACTCCACTAACTATTTTTTTTTTTGTTTTAATGCCAAGACTTCTCTTGACATTGCTATTTTTTCTAAAAAGAAGTTTGATCTTGTTAGCTGATGATTTCTCCACTGTCAAGACAGTCTAACCTTCGAGACAGAAGGTCAAACTTAGCACAGGTGAATATATAAAATGTTGGGTGAAGGAATATAAACCTTGAACAGAGTCCTCAGTCTGCTAAGGAACAAATTTTGTGTGCAAACAGACTCCCAAAAATCATAAAGTCCTCATTCTTCTCTGCTCGCATGGATTTCTGAGTTATCTTGGAAACAACAGAATAAAGATCTTAAATTCCATTTGTGTTTCACTTGCATTGAGCATAACCACATGAATTAATAATGTGTGAAAGTAAAAAGKATATGTAGGTCCAGTTCATTCAAACCACAAAAGTAGACTTGAATTTTATGCATCTGCACTTTATATTTTATTTTTCATGTTGGCATTTTCAAGATGAAAAAAATGTTGTAYAACATAAAATTAATTATCCCCACATACTTAGCTGTATTAGCACTCCTAAAGATGCCTCTCTGAATAGAAATATGATCAATTATATGTGTGTTTGAGCTACTATTTAAATCAGTATTTTATAATAAAAATAAATACTATAGTAAGTAAAATAAATATTATAAATTATTTTTGTATCTATAATATATTTATTACATTATACATATTTTTTTTCCCAGACTGTTCCTGTTGTGTTCTGGCCCAATATTTACTTGAAGGTTGAAAGGACAAGAAAAAACATGCTGTAAATCTGTTGGCTCTCACTTGATAAATTATAAAAAAAAACTTTTTGATCTTTTGATCTTGAAACAACATAACCTAAAAGCCTTTTCCTTCTGGCTGGAATCCCAGACTCCAAATGTCATTCAAAGGATACGTTTTCATGACAAAGTGTTTGATACTCTACATCCTTGCATAAATTTGTATTTTTTCTACTTTTTTTTTTTTTGTTAAATTGATGCTTACCATGAGCTTTGTCATATTCAACTTCAATTATTTAGTTAGGGCTAAGCAAGATTGGATATTTAAAATAGAATTTAAAAGTTTTTCCAAAAACAGGTACCAGAACTTACAGAAGGTGAAATTTAAAGTGGAGACAAATTAATATTTCTCCACTGTTAGATGAAACCAAATAATTTTAAATTTAACATGTGGTGCTATACCATAGTTGAGAAGAGAGATGGAAATTTGAAAGTCAGCAAGAATAGTCAGGAATTAGTGTTAGAAAAACTATATTGCTCAAGTTTGCTGGAGTCCAGATACACAACAAAGAAACAGATTTTCATTTCCTTTCTCTTTATGGCTCATTATCCACATCTAATTCTCTTTTTTTTTTTAACACAAGTTTCACACTTAGGCAATAGTAACCATGGAGAAATAGTGAAGATACATGGTGGTGTAGATATAAAAAAAATATGAAATCCYTGTCGTCCAGTATGTCACTATGTGTAAGTCAAGAAAATATTTGGCTTCAGTCAACTTTAATTTAATGGGAAGAGCAGGAAATTGATTTACTACAAATTGTTTTAATATTTCTACATAATGCAGCCTTGCAAAATTGTCATGAAAATTTACTGGTATGGATGCAAATATTTATTTGTTTGCCTTTTTTTCACAGTCATCAATCCTGGTGGTGACTTTTTTTTTTCACTGCATTACCAAATATTATTCATTTCAGCAAGTTGAATGAGCAAAACTTTGCTAAACTGCTATACTATAAATATATATATGGAAATATGTATTTAAATTTGTCTTTTTGAAATAATTTGTGTGCTGTAACTTTGCAGATTCCTTGTATGTTGAGGATGTAATCAACTTTGAGACTGAAATAGAATGCAGGAAGATTACACAAAAATGACAGTTGTAAATGGCACAAGCTTCTTTGATTTTTTAAATATTTTAATTTTAGGAACCTTACAGGCATAAATAATGGTAACATTAGTTACCTGATAGGGTATGTAACATTTGTTGGGTTTATATTGTGGAGAAATACCTTTAGCACTTTTATAACAGATTTGTACCATTTCTCATGAATTAAATTCTCTTTTTTAGGCTCCTGGTCCTATCAGTGGTGCAGTGCTGATGATGCACCCATCTCTCCGTGGATGTTTGCACAGGAGGTGTGGCACTGCCAGGTGGGTCTGGATTTCATCGAGAAAAGGATTGACAATGATTTCTCTGATCCAACAATTTGGATTGAGAACACATCTCTTTTTCCACTGTTTTAATAATTTGGATATTGGCCTCATTCTTCAAGCTGGGTGTTGAGGCAGTCCCATTTTGTGGAAGATTTTGGGTTCTGCACTGTGTTTRGCACAAGATGGAACAGAGGAAGTTTCTGGTTCTGAAGCGCAGCCGTCYTTCAAACATTTCTTCACACTCGAATGGTTCAGCTCTGTGATATCCTGGACCTGGAGTGGCACTCCACAGGTAAAGGTGAGAAATTCCAAGTTGCCTGAAGATTTCAGGGCACTTTTTTACATTGTGAAGAATCAGAAGCCTAGAAAACTAGGTCTCTATTCACTCCCTCTGTGTCTTTATTCTGTAGTGATGGCATTAGCTTTGATAAAACCAAATCAATTTCAGCATGGACCACTATTCCACTTGAACCTTCCTTGGATCTGGAGTAATTTTTCAAAGCTAAACTGTGCTCGTTCATGAGCATAGATGTATAGAAAAAAAAAGAAAATTCAAGTTTTCTATCTAGATTTAGTAGCTATCCATATGCTACATCAATACTGATTGTAGTTTCACTACATTGTTGTAATCATTTTGTCTCTCACCAAAGTTAACATGAAAGTCCATTTTCATGTCAAACAACTCTTTTTTTTTTTTTTTTTTTTTTTTTTTTTTTTTTTTTTTTTTTTTTTTTTTTTTTTTTTTTTTTTAAATTTACTATTCAATGGTGTAGAGCTGGTTGATGCTGGAGAAGGACTCTGTTGCAGGAAGATCCCTGTCAGTGGCTGGGCATTCAGGTTGGTGAGAAAATTCTGTTTTTTTTAGAAGTGAGAGAAGACTGAATGTAGAAAAAACTGAGCTGGAAGAAGCAGAGGGCAATTTTCAATGAATATTTAATGGTTCTGGAGTTCATGAGAATGTTCGGAGTTGTTGAAATTAATTATGAATATCAAATTACTGTAAGCAATATACTGTATAAAGCAACAAGCTGGTTTTACTRTCAAAGAGGAGGGGAACGAAAAGCAACAAAACCAACCTCTTATTTGCACAAACAGAAGAAATTTTTGTTGTGGAATAAAAGCCAATGACTGAAAAAATAATGAAGGCAGCTATATGAGAGTTTATGACAGCACTTGCGTCTGCCAAAGGGTGGAATATTTTCCCATATTCAGGTGGGTGATGCCAGAACTGAAGATTAACTTTAGATCAGGGATATATTGTATAATTTTCTTTTTGGCATTGCTGATTTAAATATAGGGATTGAGCTATGCAAGAGTGGGAAGCAGATAAACTATCATTAGCATCATTCTAGTAACACCAGCTGCAGTGAATACCAAACAGGTTTATACTTAGCAGGGGAAGGTAAATGTAGCTGCAGAGAGATTTGAGCATCTATTAACAGCTTGTCCAGGGGCTGAGATTAGAGAAGCCTCCCATCCGTTGATATGTTTCACTCACAAAGTGTTCTGCTTAACATTAAGATAATCACTGTTTATGAGAAGAAGAAAATCAAAAATATATATGATAAATCAGACTGCCCTATAGGATTCTAGGTCCATGCCTGGTCATAAATAGAATTTATTACTTCCTTCCTCAACACACAAGACGAACTTTCAACAAATCAGGCATTTAAACCTAAAATTTAGTGTGTGCTATTGCCAAATAGTCTTTTGCTGCTGTGGAGTCTTTTCAGCTCATGATACTGAAAATTTCCTACAAAACAAGCAAAAAACAGGTACAATTTTCATGATTTGCAACCAGTTTGCAGCACATTTGTATTTTTTCAGTATGAATCAATGCACACGAATTACAAATGTAATTTCAGCCATCCTAGTACCATATTTTGTTACATTATGAAGCTTTTTGGGTTAGTTTCTTTTAGGCTTTAGTCACTTCTTGGGTTTCAGTGGTTTGGATTTAGGGTAAACCTCTCTGTTTTACTGCTCCCATCGAATGTGTGGCAGCAGGACAGTGTCACTGTCCCTTGGCTCGTGAACAGCTGTGTAGCTCAGAGTGGCGCAGGGTCTGGTTTTCATCCCAGTTTTATGACTGTGAGCTGCTCTGCCCTAAGATACAGGGGCAGTGATAAAACAGACATTGACTTCTGTGATTCAGAGGGTTATATTTATATACCTGATAGAAAAAAACCCACACTTTTTATATAAAATTAAATGGTCATCTCAGCTACTTCATAACATTAGGATAATGCATATTGATTTCAGGCATATTTATTTCCATAAAGAAAACAATTGGATGTTTCTGCCATCATAATCTTGGTAACTTTCTGGACCCTGTCCTTTGTTTAATTTAATGACTGCTATTATTGGAAAATTGCACTAAATACACCAGGTAACATTTTTCTATTTTGCTTCTCAAGGGGCCCATGGAAATAAAAAAAAATTATTTAGCACAAAAATGTTACTATTTCTATATATTATTATAAAAGAACAAAGAATAATGTATTTAAAAGCGAGTGTTCTCTATACATTAGTTCTGGGTAATTTTGAGAAATTTTKTATAGTAAGAAGAGGAAAGTGGCAAGTTAAAAATCGAGTGTAGAATTCAGATGAAATTCTTTTGGCTTCCTGTTTACATTATAAAGGTGAAATTGGAAGAGAAAGCTTTGCTCAACATATTTTTTCTGTTTCAGAAAGTAGCTTGTGCCTGGTTTTTGAGAGTTTGAGGGGTTGTAAACTTCARGCTTAATTTCTAAGCACTATGGAAACTCTGTCAGCTGTCTCAGCAGATACACATCATCACACACATACATCTTGGCCAACAGAATATTTTTGAGAAGAGTTTATGCTTAATTGGAGTTATTATGGAATGGCTGAATCTTTGGGTCACAAAAATTTCATCAAAAGCAGAGTGAGCTGGAAATTTTTGGTAGGAATGAAAGATGTTTCACCTACACGAACTATAGCTATGATCCTTCTTGTATCTCTGAAAGCCCAGTAAAAACTGTCTTCATCAAACCTCGCAGCCTTGACTATTAAMAGTGGTATTAATAAGGAATACTTCTAATAATAGATAATTTTTGTATTTCATGCCAGGTCATATATTCCCCTTCCTTCCAAAAAAACCTGGTATAAAGAGGAATAACAAGAGATAAAAAATGTATGTGCCATGTTCAGTCTCTGATGGAGACAGGAACATAAAAATATTCTCTCATCTCTATAAAAATGAGTGGAGCTACTTGTCCTCCAGTGTTAAATTTAACATTGAAAACACTGCTGAAACAAGTGTATTGTGCCTTGAAAAATGACTCAACCTTACCTACAAGTAATTTTTCATCCGCTCCAGTCACCAGTTCACTTCTGTTTGGACACAGGATTAAGGCAGAAATATGAAAGTAAGATTGTTGCTTTGATCATCCTTCAGCTGGTTTTTATCCCATTTTCTGATCATTTTGCTCATTTTCTGGGGGATGCAGCCAGAGAATTGGTCAGTGTCTGTGTCYGGGCTGAGGCTGGTGAGGAGTGCTGTCCCTCAAGGTCCCTAAATGTCCTTATTGGTGGCACTGTGACRTCCAGGGCACCCTCAGCAAGCTGCAGCTGACACTGAGCAGTGCAGGGCAGATGGCACAGGGGAAGGAAAGATTTAATGATTTGCCATGTGCAGGGCATTGCCAGCAGCAAAGCYCTGGTAGGTACAAATCTCCACACCTCCGTATCCCTAAATCCAGTTTACCTAAAAGAGAGGCCAGACAAAATTAAGATAATAGAAAGCAGTTCTATTTATTGAAGGGCCTTCAGGTACATTCAGGGCAGTCACAGCCCACCCAGGGGCGGCACCCAAAATGGACAATGGGTCACAGGTTTTTAATATTCTGTAAGTTTTGGCCATTTGCATTTCGGGGTTTAATCCTCTAAYTACAGCTTCAGTAATAAAGTTGTTTACTCCAAGTTTGCTCCCCCAATTCACTGTTGTTTCCATCTCTTGGGCCCTGAGACAGTGGGGTGTCCTTGAGTTTGGGGCCTGGAGAGGAACTGTTTTGTCAAAAATGGAAGAACAGGAGCTCATCACTGTACGCTAAAGAATTACAGGATTACAGATACGTGAAAAATACAGAAGTTAAAACCCTGAGGCATCATCCCCAGCCATGGCCAGTGACAAGGTTGAGCTTGTGCTGCTGAGTGCACGCTCACTGTCAGCTACAGCTGATCAGCTGATGTGAGATCTTGTGCCACAAGGCCAAAAAAAGAGATTTACCGATGATTCGCAGAGATGATTTTGGGGAAATTAMTGTGAGTGTTAAATAAAGGATTTGAGCCATGAATTCAGGGCTCAGCACTTTCCTGTTGTGCCACAGAAGCTGCAGGAAGAAAACAAACAAAAGGCAGTGACAGGACGTGTTCCAGAGATGATTTTTGTCGTTCTGATAAGTTACAAACTTCACCTCCATCACACCTCRGGGCAACCTCTTCTTGTTTTGATCATCTATAGATATTGGACAACATTAACATTCAGGAAGACAAACAGATTACTTTTTAATGTTATAATTGCCTGTATTGTGATTTTTTTTTTTTTGTTGTCTCAGGACCTGAGAACTGTCTGGGGTGTATGTTATAGGGTTCCACAGGCTTGTTTTTTGGAAACAGAGCAGAAAGTCTCTATTAAGGCTGTCAGTTGCAAAATAAAACCCCTGTAAAAGCATTATTGAAAATAATGCTATAAAATCTTTTATAGTATAAAATCTGAAGGATTTCTCCAAAAGAAAAGGATAAAAAGACCTAACAGGCAAGATGAGAGCACAGTAAAGTAGGTTTTCCCCATTAAAATAGGACCAAGAAAAAACCCACAAATAAACCAGCATAAATTATTTCTGGTTCTCTTTTCCCTGCTAGCAGATGACAGTGATTACACTAATTACAGTTATATTTTCTGCAGAAGTTTACAAATAATGTACAAAATTAAAATATTGCTTCAGATTGCATTAGTCAGATGTTAAAATTACAGAGACAAAGGCTTCATGTGAACTTTTTGAGGGCAGTAATCTCAGGAAATGGGCAATCCAAGTTCAGCATTGTTCTGGCAATGCATTCCCTTCGCAGTAAAATGCTGAACAGATGTATCTGATAGCGGCTGTAACCTATTCAGGGGGAAGCCTGCCAGTGCTAACCTACCACTGGTAGAAAGCAATAAAATGTCTCTGGAACCTGCTCACTGCATATGGTTCGCCCGAGGTTACTGTCTTGCCTTTCTTACAATGTTACCCAATAAATCACAGAAAATATGGATTCATTTTAAACTTGAATGAAATAAGACAGGGGAAAAAAAACAAAAAAAACAACCTATCTCAAAGAGCAAATTTTGAGGACTGCTGGGTATTTTCATTTCAGACATGAAATCAGCTATTTATAAGACTAAACTATCTAAAAATGCCTAAAATAGTGCCACTAAAATGTTTCTATTCTTGCTTAATATACTTATTTCCYTTTCAGACAGAAATGCTATTGCAGCTTACACTTATACAACATCTGCTGTGTTAATTATCAATATATTACTAAGCCCTGAATTTCCATACTCAAACGTAATTCTTTGAAACATTACGAGAAACAATGGATTTAGGAGTATATCACTTGGGGATTTGATGTACTGCTCAACTTAGATTCTTTCATTCTGGCCAGATGGAGTTCATAAGAAGTCGTGGGGGAGGAAGCCTCTAAACTATTGCCAAAAAATCTTTAYTGCACATGCAAGACTTGCACAAATGGTGAAAGAGCAGGTTATCCAACAGGGAGAAAAAGCATAGGTTTTACATATAAATCAGTTATGGCCTTAATGCAAAATCAAAGGTAACTYTGTTTCAGACTGTCCTCATGCACTGCAGTTTCTGTTTGAGATGAGCCATTTGCTTCATCTGTGCCCGTATCAGTTTCCACAATGGCAGTGCTTAAAATGCCATGGAGCAACAGATAAARAGTTGGAGTCTTCCTGTGATATGTATTAAAGACCAGAACTTTGAAAGATAAAACCAAGAAGAGATAAACAGTCAAAAATTCTGCAGGTTTGAATTTAAATTACTTCCATTTGGAGAGGGGGAAAAAAAAGGGTATTTTTAGTTGCCTAAGGAGGATTTGTATCATCTGCATCTGAGCCTGGCACCTTGACCTGMTTTTAAGACAAAAGAGGTGAGYTGCCACCTTTAGCAAGCCAGCTAARTTGTTTTGRTKATTTCTGTGCATGAGSAGAGCTGCTCATGTTTCTGTTTTTCCACTGATGCCACGGGCAAGTTCAGCATTTGGACTGACCAGTGTGATCCCCCCACGACCACGGCTCCCTCACGTTACGGAGTGAACACAAGTGAGCCGAGGGACAGCACACCTCATAGTTTTCCTAATTTATTTCTTCATTTACTCTGCTCATGATCCTCTTTAGAGAGTGCAAATTGTCCTGGAATCGAGCAGCCAGGAGCCAGGCCCAGGCCAAATGGCATGGATGCTCATTTGGGTAATGGGGTTATTTACAGAGCTGCTGTCTTTGGCTCTGGGTGTGCTCTGGGCAGGTGAACCATGGACCATCTTGTTAAACCTGCCTGCTTATTCAACACACCTTGTGTGGATGAGTCCTCTGGATGTGCAGGGATTTGATAGCAATGAATCTGCCTTAAGGTCAAAGAGCTTTTTTTTCCTGGGGAAATACATTAATTTATTGCACTGTATGGTATGTAGTAGGATACAGTTTAAAATATGTATGACATTCTTTAGGCCTTCAGAAAATGTTTATTTTAAAAGGATTGACTGTAKAAATAAATTTAGAGAAAATATGAATTCATCAAGTGCTACAATTAAGATTCCTTTGCTTTTCTTGGCAGTTCTTCTTGAAAAACGAAAATTTTGCTCTTTTGGAACGATGGGCCTCATTCCTAAGGGTCATAAATCAAGTCAAAGTAGCCTGGGGGATTTATACCAGAGAATGATCTGCACCACCAGGTAAAATTATTCCCGAAGGAAGATTCTTGGTGTAATTCCAATGAATTCACTGAATAAATGTGTCCCTTTAATCATAGATGAAATAATCCTGCTTCCTCATATGCGATGTCACCAGCTCRAAGAAAGATTTCTAATATGCTCTTTCCTCTCTATTCACTGCCTGAATTAAAACTAATAAGATCCCTTCAGCTGATTTCCTTCCCTTACCCAGACAATATTATTACTTTGTTACTTTATACTGCTTTTAAAATGGGAAGTAAATATTTTGCTAGTAAATAAAGATTAGGCTGCTTCACGTACTTAAAATCTTTACAAGATTTTATTAGAAAATATATACACCTGCACCAAAGAGTTGTAAATGTGCTCTGTAATGTACAAAGTTATATTCTTTATCTTTTAAATTATCATTTCTATGTGTTAACCTAATATCTACAAAGAGATGGGAAAGCCATAAGCCTTTGGAACAAAATAGGAAGTTAAGATATATGTTGGGAATTAACTTGGTCTTGCTTTTTCTAGTTCTTTGAAGGAAATAGAATATATTATAAACACATTCTTGAGTTTTTGCAGTGCTTTAAACTGCTGATGTTGCTTAGAAACACATTTCTTCTGCTTCTGTGGCTTTGAAATGTAGTAAGAGTAATAATTTTTGCTGGAAAGTTGTGATTTTATTTAGACAAAGAAAATGAGGCCCTTGCAGAGCACTTACTGTGAAATATCAAACACCACAGAGTTTACCATCATATATTTGTCCTACACCAAAAAAATAAAAATGAGATAGAGCTACAGATACAACAAATAACAATTATGACAAAGAAAAATTATTTTTCCAACAGAAATAGATTTTGCTGTTCTGTCCTGGAAATTTATTTTGATCATGTGTAGTTTATAAATGAAATACTTATGTTTGAAAAGAGAAAATGCTTGCTTTCACAGTTCAGTAAGAAAWTAAGATTTAGAGCTTTCATTTGAAGAACACACGTAGTGAAGGTCAAAGGCAAAACATGGACAACTTCAAACTCACACGGGATTTTTTCCAAAACTATTTTTAAAAGGTTCTGATTTTACTGTTGATTCTCATTTCAATAAGAGGGTAATATGCAATTAAACTCAGAAACCCTGTGTTTAAGGAACACGAAGGTTGTGACTCAAACTGACAACAGACAGGAAATTTAAAGTTAAGGATATAACCCTGGTTTTAAGTCATGTAATGGAAAAACAGAGAGCATTATAGATAGAGTGCCAGCCTTAGTTTCAATTTCCTGGCTTTTGTCAGTTTATGTCACGACATTAATTATGTTTAACATAACTTTTGGATTTAATTTCCTTGCCTGTTTTTCYGTATTTGCTTCTTGTTGCTGTTGCTGTTATAGGAGAAAATAAATTTCATAGCCATTAAAAAGGTACAGGTTATTTCACAGAATGTTTGGGGTTTTTTTTTAATTTTTAAAATTGTGCTGGTTTTGGCTGGGATAGAATTTCCTTTCCTCAGAGTGGCTGGAATAGGGCTGTGTTTTGGAATTTTTCTCACTTTCACACACCCAATTCTCTCTTACGTCCTTCAGTGGGGAGGTGAGTGAGCATCTCCATGGGGCTGAGCTGACACAAAAAAAAAAACTCCTTTTTTTTTTTTTCTAAAAGCCATGATGCATAATTTGGAAAACCTGTTTTTATATATCTCGCTTCTTATTGATAATTAAAAATTGTTATGATGAATTTGTTTTTCCTATTTATAGAAGACAGAAGTCTATGTATTTTTACAAAAGTCATTTGCATTTTTATAAAAGGTAATAAACTGATTTGAATAGCAGGCAATTTTGCAACCTACCACAATTTTAAAGCCAAATAGGTATTCTAGATAGAGAAAACTATATTTTCTTAGGTGTTACCACAGTTTATAGTCAGGGAGCCAAGCTCTGCAACATGGAGTTTAATGGTTCCAGCCAACACAATCTCATTACAAAAGATAGAAAATTGAGCCAAGGGAGGGATCTGGCCTTGCAGAATGYTCTGCACTCCCTGTGGAAGCTGATGTTGATTGTACAGAAGCAATTCATTGCCTTGTGATTTCGTATTAGTAGTTACTAATACCTTTATTACTTCCACACTATTGACATAATTCCATTCTCTAAAGCATATAATTCTCAGTTCATTCCCATATCTCAGTAGACAAAAGAACCATTAATTTTAGGGTGCTTTTCATTACCAAAAAATAAATGTGTTTATTTATGTATTTGTTTAAATTATGCAGTACATAGGGATATCTGTTTGAGAACAATTGATTTTTACCTAAAGTGGAAGTCCCTAGGTGCTGGGCATAAATCTAATCTTACTCTTTGAAGCTTTATAGCTACCGAGGAGCTGAAGTCTTGTATCACACAGTCCTTAGAAACCTGGTTGCAACACATTGACTTTCAAAGCACTTATTCCCAGCTTGCAGGCTCTTCAGGAGCTGTGACTGATGAGAATCCTTTAGATCTCAATTTTAAGTGTGAATTTAGAATAGGAAACTTCTAGATGTGTAAATAAATGCATTTCCAAACATTAAAAATTGATAACAGAATTTTGCCTTTTTCAGTTTGATATTTTGATACAACTGAATGGGATTTTTCATTTACTGAAGCTGGACAGGCTGAGGTAACATTTCTTGAAGAATTCCAGATCTTGGATCCTTAGTGTTGGTTGGAGATTTTGCTTCCTGATGAATATTCCTGCCTGCTTTTGCTTCCCCTGTTCAGCAGAAAATTCATCCAGTGTCAGTGGCTTGCAAATAAGGCAAACTTCTAAGGCCAGCTTTTTCTCCACGAATACAGTTTTTTAAAATAACAATTTCAGGTTCAACCTTTATGCACTGTAAAACTTAAAGTTGTGTTTTTGTAGCTTGCAACTCCTTAAACAGGCAAAAATCCCTYCCGATTCCGTACTTGGGTTTCCTAGAAAATCGGGAATAAACATGTAAAAACAGTAAAAGTAAATAACTTAAATGACTTTACTTGGTCCAAGTTTGAATTTTTCTTCCCACAGCTGGCAAAAAAACATGGAATAGACTGTACTTGCAGATATTGAAAAGAATCTGTTTTCTATAAGAGGTCAGGCAGCTTAATTGRTCTCTTTATTATTAAATACCTTTCAGTATATATGTTTTTAATGGCTAAAGMACAACTGAGTTTCAAAAAAGTTTTGTCATCTTAAACAAATTAGTGGTTGTTTTTGATAATGCCTTGTGCTTTTACTCAACTTTGATTAAGTGAAATAGTTTGGAATGATATGCCCAGGATAAGATTCCCACTATTTTCACTATTAGGATATGGATAAATGACCACTTAAGTCAAAGGAGGTCTTTCTGTRGAACTCAATATGCTTTAGTCTGCATCCAAAATTAGTTTTTGTCTGCTGTTTTTTTCTACATTTTGCACCATCAATGTAATTTGAGGTTGAGTTTTTTGTTAGTTTCTTGTTGTTTTACCTTTTTACATGCACCGCCACTTAGATTCATTTCCTTGCGTCTGTAGCATTTTTATTTCTGATTGGCTTTTAAGTGGTCCCAGGAATATAAGATCTTCATAAGAAAAGGCATGACTTTTATAGGGAATAAAAATGTGACTGTTAAGTTTATGTATCATTACATTAAAAAAAAATAATTTTTTCTTTCTTTTTTTTTTAATAACTGATAATAAAGCTCTCGGATGAGCTGTAAAGTACTGGTGTGGAAAACGACTTCTTAGTCACCACTATAAAGTATTTTCTAGAGAGCCATTCACTAAAATAGCCATTTTTATACTTTATCTGCTCATTTTGAATGTGGCCATTTTTTCAGTAACCTAGGACCTATACGTTTAAAAATTAAACATTTCTCTATAAATGTTTTAGAATGTGATATCACATGTTCTAGACTACAATGCTTGTTTTATTTTACAGTTTCTTTTTATCATCAAGATGCAGCAATGGCTCAGTAGAGGAAGCTGTGCCAGYTGAGTGTTCTATTTCACGTCACCAGCATTTCTCCTCATTATCTTTTCAAATTCCTTATTTACCACATGAGGCAGGACTGAGCTCTYGCAATAAAAGCTGCAGCTGTTTCTGCTTTTTTCTTTCTCCCTTTGCCTTCTGCTAAAGAAGATCCCAAACAGAGTCAACAATGGTCTGTCTACCCAGGAATTCAACATCAAAAGTTGGACCCAACATCTCTTGTTTTGGTAAATTCCCCTTTTCTACCCAAGAGCAGCAGCTTTTACGGAGTTTGTGGCACGACAGCAGCAGTTGTGAGGAAGATTGCAGGCTTTCATTAATTCTTGATTGTAATCTTTCATTAATTCTTCTGATCTGAAGATTTCTGTGGTGGCTCCAGGCTCCAGCCCTACAATTATGACTTGCTCTACTGCAGGTAAATTCCTGATATAAACAAAAAAAACAAAACCTGGGTTCAGCACTCAGGAGGCCACCCAGTGGCTGCTGTGCTCCTGTGTGGTGATACCTGWTTTGTACTGACAACCAAAGAACTTCTAAAGCCTGGATTCCCYTTGACGACCTCAGAATGAATTATTAAAACAGTGCTTTGTGAGCCATATATTCTGTCTCACACGTATATTGTCTCAAGATGATTGGCCTTTTTGTATTGTGACATGAGAAGGAGAAGCTGCTTTGATTCTGCAGCAAATGCAAATTAAAAAAAAAAAAAAAAAAAAAAAAAAAAAAAAAAAAAAAAAAAAAAAGAAAAAAAGAGAAAAGAACAAACTGGCGCTCTCTTTGTTCTGCAGACAGGAGTTCCAAGAGACAAATTAAGCTGTTTTTTACTCATGCAACCTTGATGTGGCCGAGAAATTGTTTTGCCATCACACCCTCTACTTGTGTTTTAACACCAGACAACAACAAAGCGTCACCCAGCCACACGCTCTGGGYTGGTTTGGGGGAGGCAAATCAAGAGGATGAAAGTGCAGAAACCCACAGGCTGTGCTGGAGACAGAGACATTTTAATAGGRAAAGTGAAGGCTGTGCATAAGGAAAGTAAAACAAAGAATTCATTCCCCAGATCCCATGGGCAGGTGATTGCTCAGCCTCTCAGCTTTATATGCTGAGCATGATGCCACRTGGTCTGGAATATCCCTTTGCTCAGTTTTTACATAATAAAATGCACTTCATCTCCTGAAATGTCCAGTTGTAGGTGACAACTGAAACTGAGAAAATATTTCATTCTTGATTTATGGAGAACATAGATGAAAACAAACTCCCGTTGGCTTCAAAAATATTACTTATGATTCCCCACTGTGACATTTCCTGTATAAAAAATGTGTCTTGGTTGTTCTGAAGGCCAGTGACCTACTCC